ACGTGATTCATTACTTCGTCAGTAATGAATGAACCTCGGTCAGCAATTTTGGGTAAGGAATTATTCTTTACGGTAAATTGTACAACCCTAGTAGGAATCCATTCGAGCACTGAGGCATTTTCGCTGGCCTTACCAAAGGGGAAAGTGCTTGAAGATTTGAGTGCCTCCAAACCGCCTAAAATGGTTAAAGAAGCACAGAGCTCGCCACTGGGTTTGCGGAAAACCAGCTCACATGTGCAATTGGAGGTCGAAGCACCATTCCAAAGCAGAGCAACCTACCTTAGCATGAATTCCTTAAAGGCCTGGCGCTCTTCCACTTTCCACTCTAAAATAAATTTGCTTTAGTCAAACCCAATCATATCGTGGGTCATCCCGGAGGAATATCTAGCCGGAGGCAGAAATGACAATTCATCCCCACCACAGGAGACTCGTGAAGGGCGTCATGGCTCCGGCCAGCCTGGCTGAAGGGAACACGGGACGCTCTCGCAATCCAAGGGGGACTATCCCACCACCAGCATGACAACGGTGACCGCGTGGACCGCTTCGGGTGACTCTCGCTGGAAAAAGGATGCTGGGGTGTGAGGTTCTACTACCCTGCCGACAAGTTAGAGACCATCCAACAAACCAAGGGGAAAAGAGCTCCGAAGGCAAACCAGGAAATCCCGTCCAGCGGGTGTGTGCGCAATCAACGTCACAAATTGCCCCGGCGAGGGCTGTGTCGTTGGGGAACCGCGACGAGGGAAATGAGGCCATTGTAAGATTGAGGGAGGAAACCAAACGATACCATTACGGCGCCGGGAGGTCGCGGTCTTTATAGCGGCGCGGGATCGGGCGGTGGCGGACGGCATTTCCCAGTTGGGGGTATCCGTTCCCGGATACGGCGGCCCCTAAAGGCAAATTACTTTTTTTAACTAGCTATTTATTTATAAGTAATATACTGTGTTATATAATTATTAAATATTAAAAGCTTTAAAAATTGCACGCTAAAAATTTAAAATAAACTTTAAATTTTAATTTAAAATAATTTTTTATAAAATGCCCTAGTTTCCTACTTATATAGATTAAATTAAAATTATACCTTAATTTTTGGCTTTTTACCAAGAATAACCCGGAATTAGGCTAATTTATTTTAAAAACTTATTAACTAGGACAAGCACTTGATTATATTTTTTATTTATTATTAATAGGCTAGTTATAAAGTTTATAGTTAGTGTTTTATACAGCGCTTTAAATATTATAATAATATTTAAAAATTTATAGGGCTTATAATAAAAAAATAAGTAATAATTTATAGGGGCAGGATATATTATACTTTTATAGTTTTATTTTTTTTATATATAGCTAAACCGTGTAATTTTAACAGGCAAGTTTTTAGGCTAGTATAATTATAAAAATATTCTTAAGTAGTTCTTGTGGGATTACTAACTAAAGTTTATTATTATTTTTTTATAAATAAAGTAGTTTTTTAATAATTTAGTAGGAAATAAAATAAAAAGTATTATTATTTTTTTACTTTAGTTAGGATATTAATAATTACTATGCACCGTGTATTATTTTTATATTTCTAATAACTTTTATATATAAAGTCTAGATTAACATAAACTTTAGAGTATTTTAGTTAAACTAGTGTAAAATCTATATTAAAAAATAAATACTTTATTAGCGTGTTAAGGTTAAGATTTTTTACTATTATTTATATATTGA